AAATTACTGGTTCACTTGGTTCAATGTTGTTCGTTCACGCTTCAGATACTTGGTTAGTTGATCGACAGCACAGCGAACAGGGGATTTAAAAGCGAAAAAAATTTTGACGGTGATAAATAGCAATGTTGCTCCTGGCCAAGTCAGTTTTGGTGGTTAGGTGCTAAGTTGGTCTAATCTGCTCCACACATATTTGGTGATCTTTTGTGGAAAAGTCCAAGATAAAACAACTGGCTTATCAAGGTGCCCTAGAGCATCTGTGTCTTAACTGAATTCCTGCAAAAGTGTGTCGTTGCTTCTTTTCCTAGGGCGCCATGCCAGTCTTGTTTTGTGACCGGTATCGGGATGTAGTCGTTCTAACGTATCGAAATGCCATTTTGTTCTTCACACAGCGATGAAAAAGATGCCTTTCACAGCTAGGTAGTTAAACAGCTGAAGGGGAACTTCGATATGGTCATTTGGCGGAGATGGATGAACAAAATCTTTTGTGGGGAGCAAAAGATGCAGTAATTTATTTGATGGTAATAATGACAGCTGAAATGCGTTGATATTTGAACCTTTCTAGGCCTGACGTTACGGGTGTTTCTTTTTCTTGCAGCAGACGAGAGAATTTTAAGGAGTTCTACACATGGAAAATAAAAAAATTATCATTATTCCAGTAAAGAGTTGGTTTGTTGTATACAAGTAAAAATTGTACAAAAATAACAAGGGAGAAAAGGTGGGAAAAAGAACGGTGGAAAAAAGAAAAGAGGAGAAAATAGAAAAGGAAAGCGGTCGGTTTTTCTCGTCAGTAAAGTCGAATGGATTCGTAGTCTGGATGAAGCAACTGGTCTTTTAAACATTTTTGGTTTTATTAAAGAACTTGTCGGAAAACCCGCAATAAGTCCGTCATTTTGTATCGTGCGATAAGAGAAATTTAAATACATTGACATATCCTCGGAAAGCTAAACTCAGGGTTAGTGAGCCCACTCAACTTAGTTCAGAAGTAATTAATATTATTTCTTGTTTGTAAATCGTGCCGTTCACTGCCCTCATGATTTGAGTGTTAGGCAGGAAATTAAACTGGTAACATAGCATTTCAATTTGCAAGTAATTTAAGGAATAGTATCATGAGCCATCAATAATAATAATCGTTAAGCACTAGACTCTCCTAATCTTAGGCGATTAGTCTTTCACCTGTTCACGATATCTGATTATGTAGTGTTACCAGGAAGGTGATAGTCTAGGGAAACTGCAGATTTGGCGATATGGCGTCCTAATACAAAAGAGGACTCTGTCAGGTCTACGGATCCCGCCTATTAGTGGGATGTATCAGTTCATGGTGTGTCAGTGGTGGATGTCACGGGACATTTTATGTTCGGAATCTCAAGTGAGCATGCCTATTTATTGGAGCCGTAGTTATTTGCCCACAGCAAAAAATAATCTACACTAGGGGAATTGGCTAGAAATTATCAGATTCTCCTTTTCTCTCAGTTTCATGCATACCTTCCAGTCGATTAGTCCTATTTACGGATCCTTGCAAAAAACAGGCTAAAACCGTTTCTTGTGGCTCTACAGACGTGCAGGTTAAAAAGCATATTCTGTCGAAAAACGTCTGACGAAGGAAGAAGGTGCTGGTGTGATTGAGATCCTGGTATTTGAGTGCAAATATGCACTTGGTCTCAGGTCGCTTCCTCATCAGCAGAACCGTAAATTTAACTAATAACTCGGGAACGTTCAATGGATTTTCAACCAGTATTCGTAGATTCACGGCAAACGATTTGCGTGGCGTGGTGGGATGTGAAGATATATAGTTTGGCAAGTGTCGTAAAGAAGCTAAACATTTCAAAAGTAAATTTTTACTTGTCAAGGATATACTGTATGTTATAAGTTACCCACCTTGTTAGTTCAACGTTAGTTATGCGTGTACAATTTTTTGGGTCCTTGAAGGAGAAACTTTTGCCTAACTGACTTATCCACAATTCATAGCATGATGCGATTCCAAAGTAAATGTGATGCGGATTAGCTCCCTACGGAGAACAAGTAAGCTCTATTTGTATCTGTCCCGGGGTCGCGCAATTGCTTGCCGGAATTTTGTCAACGGCAGATAGTAGAGAAAGTAGCACATTCTACTGTTGTCGCCTACAACGTTCGGTAAGTGGCCGGAACTACTATCCCCACCGTACTGGAAGTAGTAAAGTGTACATTGGTTTGCCATCGTTGTCATCAGCCATAATCATCAAATTGACAATACAATTATTCTGCTGAATGCTTTCTCGCTCCGATTTTATCCATCGACTTTGTTCTGATATACAACGGGTTTTTGCTGATGAAATTCGAAATTCTGGCCTAGATTTGATAGCCCTTGCATACCTGTCATTTGTGTCCAATCATAAATGGTATGAAGGTGTAAGTCGGTTGTCGGCGAATGGAACGGAGTAACGAGGATGCGCCGGCAAGAATACTCCCAGTAACCGATATGAATAAAATTGCTAGTCTTAATAAGGTTGTATTATCCTCTCTAGTTACACTTATGAAACTAACAAACTAGTTTGATCTGTCACTTCCGTAAAGCTTGTAGTAAGTAGTTTCGTATAAACCCATCATGAACGAGTGCATGATTTTACGAAACACACAGAAATACAATCAAAAAGGAGAAGAGAGTTACTGTGGCAAATATTTTGGCTTGTCGATTAGAAAATAAAGGGGTCTTTTCCAACCAGCAGTAAAACTACTGAGAATTGTGTGTCGAAGTGTGGTCAAAGTGACCGACATCTTTTAGCCACTTTAGCTCAATTTCAAGACCATTTTCATTTATGTAGCGCGTTGGTTGTCGCAGTAATAACACGCTTTTAAGTAAACAAAACAATACATAGGGTTGTGAAGCTAACATTCATTCTCATGTAGCGAATAAATCCAAGAACATAAAGTGAATTTTTGGTCGATAATGATTTACTGTATTGCTGGAATACGGATAACAATCTGGCCAGCTACACGGCCCAGGGGCATTGTTTCTAGGCAGACAGAAGATGGCTAATCAGATAAATGAATGCTGCAACATCTAGGGCCTTTTGAATGCCTATTACCCGCAGACCAGTTGGTTTGGAATTCAGTACCCCGTTATAAGGATGTTAATAGCTTAACTACTCATTAGCTCATCAATCTTGTTTTGATGAGACACTCAGTTGGAAAGCAGATTACTTTCTTGCTCATGATGTTTCTAAGAAATTGATTGTTCTTAACTGGTTCTGCTCATGTTTTATTTCGTATGACATTCGATATATCGCAATATATTGTGTAGACGTAATATACTACTCATGCTGTTGCTTGAAATGTGTGCCTGTGAAATGACTTGTGACAGTAACAAGCAGTAAACTACTGTGGAAACACAGCATTTTTTCTTGTGCTAACACAGCAAAAATAGTACATTGGGTATAATTGTAAGCAGCTCAAATAAGTGACAATCTTGATCTGATGGACCGTAAATCTGGTTCATTGCTATCCGTCGGTTGGAAGAAGTTCTGAATCGATTAAGAACTCATCATTCCAGCGTAGCTTGGTAGAAAACCACGGTTTGCTTACCAAGCGCTTGTCACACTGTCTGTTGGTATTTAGGACAAAACACAGCGTATGATCAAGACACTTACCTCGTTCGAATGGGCAGCTTATTTTCGCAAGCTTTTTCCAGCTGTCCCTTGAGTCATCATTATCTATAGACAGCCTTCTTAAAAACGTTAACCCCTCCGAACACTTGTTATTGCCACTTGCGGCCCTGAACGTGCTCGACCAGGAAAGCTATTCAATGGCATTTCTGCCTAATATGACATATTTCAGTGTGACCGTATCTGAATACTGTCAACAGCTAACTTCCTCGTTGAGTTGATTTTGCGCTTTCCCACAAGGTATCATGCCAACAGCCCCTGTACTTAGCACAAGTTGACCAAATTGACTTTTTACTAACGGCAGCAAATATGTACCGATAAAGGGCTAGTCGATTGGATAAACATTGTGTAGTCATAGTATCAAGTGTTCACATTAACTACGTAACAACAAGTATGGTTCAAATTACTGGACAGTTGACAATGCAGAAATATTAATCCACACAATATCTACTACCTGGCCTTTACATAGATGCATAAATATATTTGACTTATAGTAATACCTGGTAAGAGCAGTAAATTAAGTAATCAGTGTGAAACATACAGCAATAAACGGTGTGTACCCACGGCGCCGTGCCACACAGTTAATGCACAAAAATTGGAAAATTACACCTTGATTTTTGCAACGATGCGCCATGATGCGCTATTACGTAAAGACCTATGCATGCAAGTATTCCAGGCTTTAAGACGCTCTGAACTGTAGGTGTATTTAGATTGTATTTAATAGAAATGTTACAACCAGTAGTTATTGAGCCCAAAACACTGACGAAAACTGCCGGTTTTCTGTTTTCTGAGCCATTCAGTTCGGCTGGTAACCTTTCTTCACTGACTTGGGTAATATCATCATTACGCACCAAGTTAGCGACGTGCCATGGTGCTTCTATGTGTAACTGCTGAGCGGTTTATGTCTTTTTTGGTGTGATGTAAAATGAATTCGGATTGACATGAGTAGCTTGGACGGTCATTCCCGTTTGTCAGACTTTGGGTATCTCCCAGGTTGCTTGTTCCCCTTGACCCTGACCCCTTTACTCATTACACGTCAACGACGTTTCGATGGTTGCTCAACTTGGCTTGAGGTGAATACGGGAACTCCGCTTTGTCTAAATAAGTTGGTGATTCTCTGGCTACTATTTGGTGTGAGGTAGTGGCAAGACGATCGTCTCAAAGGTCAGCTGTCCGGAGTTCAGTCTTCGGCACGGCTAAAGATATGCAGTGCCCCTGTAGTTCTCTGGGAGCAGACGCACATGATATTACCTAACTCATTCGAACTGAATGAATCGACCAATAAAACATATGATATATTCTATAGAAAACATTCAGTATATACTTTTCATTTCTTCATTACTTTTGTTATTTCTTTCCTAGGTGTGATCGTCGAATACCGATTTGCGTCCTACCCTTCACCAAGGATTTGCGCACATTCCTCAGCTACTACCACACCTACGTGGGATTTGGCTTGGGTAACATATTTGAAGCTATGTCTTCGTGGATAACCGTGCTCATATGCATAGAGCGCTACGTGATTATGCGATGGCCTCATCTAGGAAAATTGCACTTTTCGCGTCGAGCGGCCAGATGTCAGATCATTTGCACAATATGTTTTGTCATTTTGTTCCACTTGCCCATGTTCTTCGCACTCAAAATTGAACGAGGTGAATTTGTGACCGGAAACAACACGTCCAAACGTTACCTGAAAATGGGAATGACGTGGTTTGGTCACTCAATGTACTATTACATCATCACGTGGGTTCGATTTATATGCATTCAATGTATTCCACTCGCCCTGCTTTGTGTGGTCAACCTGCGGCTGCTCATCCTTATATGGTCAAACTATCGAAAACAACGGATGCATTCTGTACACATCGATAACGGTGACGATATGATGAAACGGGAGGAATTTCTGTCGTCCATTATAGAACATCAAAGTGAGATTGTAACCCAACTGTCTCCAGATTATGCGGACAGAGAACGTTCCAAAGGGTACAGAGCGGAGCGCGTGGAAAGTTTACAAGTTCCCAGATTATGCCCGGTTGGTTCGAATCACTTGAGAAAACATTCGTCGAGCATACCAAACGCAGCATTCTATGGTTCAAGGTTAGATCGTACTCAACAAGCAAATCTGAAGTTAACCATTCTCCTTGTTGTTGTCATTTTCTCATTCATTCTGGGCCAGATTCCTCAGGCTTTCGCATACGTCCACATTATTACACTCGTTGTGCCACGTGACTGCATTGATTGTATAGTTTATGTTAACCTGTACAGACATTTCAGCCAATTGTTGTGTCTCATCACTTCCACTACAAATTTCTTCCTCTATGTTGCACTTAACCGCCATTATCGAAGTTCCTTGAAGTCACTGGTCTTCCACTCACGATGAATGTTTATTTTGCCAAAATCTCTTCTCTTGTCGCGAGTGTACAATTTGTGTTAATGGGCTACCTTCGGTTATTCTCACAGATGCGCTATACAATACCCTACACACTATGTAATTGTGAAAGGCCGGAGTATCAGTTGGCAAGGCAGAATCTCAGTGAAAAGTTTCCTTTATACATTGAGTTTCGAATAAGTCATAGAGTCGAACACATATGGCTAATAAAGATTCACTCATATCCCGTACACTGTCACGCATTAGTTTGCATCTGCTACTTAAGTGTAGAAAACTTCGAAAGACCTAGATTCCATTTTTTTTCTGTTAATTACTCAAAAATGGCACACAGAAGCTTAGTTTTTGACAGGTGGAACATGAACCAGCAGCGGATAACAATAGTCTCGCAGCTAACGGGGACATTGTAGAACACAATTAATTAGGCCTCAAACCTATACCACCGACACAGAAGACCTACGTACCCCTCCCTAGAAGAGTTGATGGTTCAAACAAATAATTGGTCTTTTAGAAGCAGCCATTATGTTATTTAGCAAAGTTTGATTGGCACTGTCTGGGCAACGAGAATAAAATATCCCATCAGTTCCCTTCTAACAAGTAGTGTTGTAAATTTGGTCTCATAGCTCGGACTGCAGATAACTATCCTAGGAAACCTACTTTGTCAAAAATACAGTTTGATTAGAACCTTAATGTTCTATCTGTTTCTAACCATCATACCGGTGAAAACAACCAAAAAGAAATTAAGAAGAACAAAAGCCAAACAATGCATTACTAATCAACCGTCAACATACCGAACTTTTATAGTACTTGACTCCACGAAATGCCTGTCACCAACAAAGCAGAAAAATCCAGACTACTGATTTGAACATTTTCTATTAGTAAGTAATCTGTTAATTTTTTAGGAATCATCAGTGATATGGCAATTGATTACCATAAGAATGCAGTCATTATCTCACCTTGTTAATCATGAAAAAAGTTTAACCATTTACCACTTAGCAGGTACAACAATTTCCGCTCCACAGCTGAATTGCCGGTGCGAATGCATTTTCAGTCTTGAGTTATGTACCAGACCGTAATTTGCTTGGTTGATAACCATGAACGATTCCAATAAATGAAGCTAATTTAGGACACTTAATTTTTTAAGCAATGAACTTTGGTCAACATGTATGAAAAACTTCTTTGGAAGCTCAAGATACCGTGGAGCAGTAATATCAAATATAGCTTCCAAAGGGTATACAATCGTTGCTTCTTTGATTCATTATGTAAGGGTTTAAGGACCGACTTGGTGGAGATATTTTCCATGAAAATAAACTTGCTCAGTAAGATGAAACCGGTAAATAACAAACGGTTATGAGTAATAACTGCTTGAATGAATCATCACGGCTAGGTATGAAAACCAGACCAGACGCCTGCTGCCACGTTGGTAACGTCATCAGCTAATCGGCATGCTGATTTATTCAATAAGCAGTGGACATACGTGAATTTGATCAGTCAGTAGATGGTCTAGACTGCATGTTAAGGTTCCCGATACGGAACTTTGAGTGACGCGTAGGTTCGACAATCCCGAATATCGAAAGGAAGAATTCGATTCGTAATTCTACGGTGCTATTTTACGCAAGGGTAAGCAAAGGTGTACAACAAACCTCAATTGTTCACGTTCGTAGCGTCAACAAGTTCACAGGTCTGTCACTGGCCGGCACAGTGCAGCGTCAACGTCCGCAAACCAAACAACGGCGAGCGGAATGACCGCTCAGTAGCGTGGGTTGCGGACGCTCCTTCCGACGACGGTCTCGTGATTCCCATTGGACGTGCGATCACACGGAACCCATGAGAAAACAAATCAAGGCAGGCTCGGCAAACGGGACATGAATGCGCATGGGTAAATAGGTGAGCATCGCACATTCACACACGGACACACATGTCAACGCATTTGTCGGAAATGAAGGCCTTTTCAGCAAGGCGAGTGGCGGATTCGAATAAGCAAAACAACTGGAGATCAAAAGTACATAGCAAGTGAATGGGGGAATTATCATAAGACCAAGTTAGACTCAACACTTCACATCTTCCCATGGGGACCAAAGTGATTTGGGATAAACATTTCTATCGTCATAGACCCAAAATCTGTTTGTCAAATGTTTGGTCCTTATTTGGCTGTACAACCTCAGAATCACTGTTGGATCTAGCAATTCGCACCATAGAATATACAGCATGTTTGAAAAGATAACATAATTTGCATGGCGCAATTATTTGCTTATTTTCCTTTGAAAGCAAAGCGGTATGTAGAATAAGCGGTTTAAATTCCATTTAAACTGCCCATTCAAATTTAATCCAGTATTCTGCATTAACCGTGCATTAATTGGTTTGCAGCAATATGGCAAAATTGCGCAGCATATACATACTTGCTCACTTTCATCAGTTTGTACTCAACAGTTTATTACGTGCTCAACAACCTGACCGGTTGTTTCATTGACAGATTCCCACGTGACGACCATCATGAAATGATCGTGTCTAGCGAATTTGAAGCTAGTTCGAGAACCAAATTTATAGAGGTGCTGTAATCGATATTATCAGGTCTCATTTAGGTTACCAGATTGCGTGGCGATAGATATTCATTCGACATGTAAGCTTCCTTGCGCTAGTCTGCGACGCATAAATGTTCACAACGTGGACAAGATCGGTCATATGTGCTCTTTAAAACAAACGATGTGCTGTCAGGGGAGGACAGTCATTTTGTTGTCTAAAGGTTGAGATTATTAGATGGAATACACTGCTTCTGAACTGGATACAGGAGGTCTGAGAATCAGTCTGGCAATACCACAATGAAAAGGCTAGCTAATCAGTATTCAATTTAAAACAAACGATGTGCTGTCAGGGGAGGACAGTCATTTTGTTGTCTAAAGGTTGAAATTATTAGATGGAATACACTTCTTCTGAACTGGACACAGGAGGTCTGAGAATCGGTCTGGCAATACCACAATGAAAAGACTAGCTAATCAGTATTCATGCAAAACAACTGGAGATCAAAAGTACATAGCAAGTGAATGGGGGAATTATCATAAGACCAAGTTAGACTCAACACTTCACATCTTCCCATGGGGACCAAAGTGATTTGGGATAAACATTTCTATCGTCATAGACCCAAAATCTGTTTGTCAAATGTTTGGTCCTTATTTGGCTGTACAACCTCAGAATCACTGTTGGATCTAGCAATTCGCACCATAGAATATACAGCATGTTTGAAAAGATAACATAATTTGCATGGCGCAATTATTTGCTTATTTTCCTTTGAAAGCAAAGCGGTATGTAGAATAAGCGGTTTAAATTCCATTTAAACTGCCCATTCAAATTTAATCCAGTATTCTGCATTAACCGTGCATTAATCGGTTTGCAGCAATATGGCAAAATTGCGCAGCATATACATACTTGCTCAATTTCATCAGTTTGTACTCAACAGTTTATTACGTGCTCAACAACCTGACCGGTTGTTTCATTGACAGATTCCCACGTGACGACCATCATGAAATGATCGTGTCTAGCGAATTTGAAGCTAGTTCGAGAACCAAATTTATAGAGGTGCTGTAATCGATATTATCAGGTCTCATTTAGGTTACCAGATTGCGTGGCGATAGATATTCATTCGACATGTAAGCTTCCTTGCGCTAGTCTGCGACGCATAAATGTTCACAACGTGGACAAGATCGGTCATATGTGCTCTTTAAAACAAACGATGTGCTGTCAGGGGAGGACAGTCATTTTGTTGTCTAAAGGTTGAAATTATTAGATGGAATACACTTCTTCTGAACTGGACACAGGAGGTCTGAGAATCGGTCTGGCAATACCACAATGAAAAGACTAGCTAATCAGTATTCATTTATCTATTGATCAATAATCAGATGCATGCTTGAGAACTTACTGTGTTATTTGTGGAGTATCGGGTTGGATATTCTCTGTCCACATGGTGATTTTTACTTCTCGGCATATTGTTTCAAAGATGAGTAACCGGAAAAAATTGGAGGCATATTGCGGAAATACGTAACACTCATGTGATATATTTTACCACATTCGTGTAGTTGAAAATTCTTCGAAGGCCCACTACCGGTTTCGTCGTTCTTGAGGTTCATCCGGTAGGCGCAGTCCTCGCTTGGATCTAGCAATTCGCACCATAGAATATACAGCATGTTTGAAAAGATAACATAATTTGCATGGCGCAATTATTTGCTTATTTTCCTTTGAAAGCAAAGCGGTATGTAGAATAAGCGGTTTAAATTCCATTTAAACTGCCCATTCAAATTTAATCCAGTATTCTGCATTAACCGTGCATTAATCGGTTTGCAGCAATATGGCAAAATTGCGCAGCATATACATACTTGCTCACTTTCATCAGTTTGTACTCAACAGTTTATTACGTGCTCAACAACCTGACCGGTTGTTTCATTGACAGATTCCCACGTGACGACCATCATGAAATGATCGTGTCTAGCGAATTTGAAGCTAGTTCGAGAACCAAATTTATAGAGGTGCTGTAATCGATATTATCAGGTCTCATTTAGGTTACCAGATTGCGTGGCGATAGATATTCATTCGACATGTAAGCTTCCTTGCGCTAGTCTGCGACGCATAAATGTTCACAACGTGGACAAGATCGGTCATATGTGCTCTTTAAAACAAACGATGTGCTGTCAGGGGAGGACAGTCATTTTGTTGTCTAAAG